TAGTGTAACCATTCGTTGATCGTCCGTCATATGGGCATCCTCCCCAATTGCTATCTAAATAGTAGTGTAGTTGCATAGTTGAATCTTTTACAAAGAAAAGTCCCATAGTTATAGTATCATGTAGATATTGCATCGGTCATTTCAATGCTTTCCAATGTTTATTAGTATAGGAGTGCATGAATTGACATAATTTATTAACTACAAGGGATAAAATAAGTTGTGTCATTGTCAAATCCTGAAGTCCTTCTACTAATTATCTATATGAGTCACCATGGTATAGTTGGATGCCTAGAGTCTTTGAGAGAGTTGGGATTATAGCCATTGGAGTTAGACGACCTTTTGATTCTATTATATTAGACTTTTATAGTAGGCCTTCAATATATTTCGTTGAAAAAGTATCTTTCCAATAGGCAAGGAATGAACTTCTATCCCAAAGAAGTAAGGAAGGTTTCCCAAATCACAAATAGAAAACTCTATGCATAATGTTGCAATAAGCATGTCCACCATAGATGAATTTAAACCTTTAATAATGAGATCATCTACATAAATGAGAACAAAAATTTTGATAGTTTTTTTTTGTAAAATGAATAAAGAGGTGTTTGCTTTGGAAGCTTAGAATCCATGCTTGGTAAGGAATATGTTTAGCCAATCGAACCCGACCTATGGAGCCTACGTTAGGCCATATAGGGATTGATTTAGGTGATAGACATACCGAGGTTTCTTTGAATTGATGTGTCCCAATGGTTGTGTCATAAATACCTCTTCCTTAAGATTTCTATACAAAAAATGCATTACATATATCTAATTGAAAATGAGACCAATCATGCATTGTGGTAATTGAAATGACAATGTGTATTGTTATTACTTTGATTACAAGACTAAATGTCTTTGTGAAGTCTACACTAGATTATTGATTGTAACCTTTGGTGACTAATCTCGTTTTATATCGTTCAATGTCACTAGTTGAGGAACGCTTGATATGAAAAACCCATTTATTGCCTACCACATTCTTGTTAAGTGGTTAAGAGACCAATGTCCAGGTGTTAGTTTTCAACAATGCATTTATCTCATCATTCATTATCTTTTTTTTTAGATATGTGTTTGGCTTGGGAGTATAGGGTGGGTTCAACATGTAGGCATTTTGGTTTAGATTGAAATAGGTGTACTTGTATGGACTTCTTTATGTTTTAGAGTTATAAGTTTGAGTTTCATGGTATGGGTGAGACTAGGATCAATGATTTTTCTTTTATGATGATCGATGTGAGGATATTAGGTGAGGTCAATGACAAGATTGAGTTTAAGTGGTGATGGGGATAAGGATGTTGGTGAGGCTAAGTTAGTTGGTTTGAGTTTAGTCATTGAATGGGGACTCGTTTATTGGTTTTTTTTTTTTTCATTTGGAGAAAGTATAAGAGTGGATAGACTATGAGGTGGTATAGGAGTAGGAGACTAAGCTAGTAAATGGTTGGTTTAAGGTGGACTGCTATTTGAATGATGGATGAGAGTAGGTGGACAATGACTTTGTGTGGGACTAGGAGAAAAAGTCGAAATATATGAAGTTATAATGTATAAGACCGTACCTACTTTTATTGGGTCCAAGTGAGCATATGTTGTAGTGGAAATTATGAGCCAATCTTGATTACCATGATCTTCTTTGTTTGTTAAAGTTGGAGGATTGCCTTTGAAAGGAAAAAATATTCATTGAGTTTAACATGACATCAATGCATAATCTTCTAGTGGATGGATCTAGGCATCTATAGCCATGGTGTGTTGGTCATAAACCCATATTAACACACTCAAAATTACAATAGGAAAATTTATGGTGGTTGTATGGTATGAGGAGTGGGTAGATGCCACATCCAAAGATTTTAAGATGAGTAGCTATAGGTTTTTTGTTGAACAAAGTAAAAAATGGAGAATTATTTTTTATAATTGAACTACACAAGCATGTTGATTAGTGAGAGAGCGAGTATTAAAGGTATAGTTTTAAAATTTTAGTGGGACATTAGTATGAGCTAGAAGGGTGAGACTAGTGTCCACAAGATGCTAAATTTTCCTCTTAGCCATCCCATTTTGTTCATGAATATATAGACATGCTATTCCGTGGATGATGCTAAGATTCGTAAAGTGTTTATTGATTTTTTGGTATTCCCTTCCCCCATCTAAATGAAATGCTAGAATTAGCGTGTTATATTAAAGTTGAACATAAGCGAGAAAAGTGTTGAAAATTAGAATAAACATAACTTTTATTTGTAAGAAAATAAACCCAAGTATACCGAGTGAAATCATCAATAAATAAAACATGACCTTTGTGACCTAGGGACGAAACAATTGGGGCATGTCCCCGGACATTAGAATGAACAAGTTCAAATGGCTTGGTGCTTTTATGTTCTACTCGAAGTAAAGGGAAGATCGGCTAGCTTGCCAAGATGACAGGAAGAATAGGTATGAGAGATTAGAAGGGCCGAAAATAGGTGATGGTCTTTAAGATTTATATGAACTATTTAAAGTTGAGGATGAGCCATCCGTGCATGCCATTGATCCGGAGAGACAATAGTGCCATGACAAGCAACTCGTTCCAACTTTGAGTGTGTATAAGCCATGGTTACTCGGGCCTTAAAAGAGGATTACCTTGGACACTTGATTTTTAATAAGAAAATGGTGGGGCCAAAATTCAAAGAAACAATGACTATCAATGGTAAAATTTTAAATTGAAAGTAGTGGTTTAGATATAAGAGGGATATGAAGAACATCATTTAGCAAAAAATGTATGTCATGTGTATGGAAAGAGGATATTCCTCGGTTAAAGATAGGTAAACCTTGATCATTGGGAACTTACAATTGATCATTACCCTTGTATTCTTAAGCAATACTCAAGGAAGAGATGTCCGGTGTTATGTGGTGAGATGTGCTTATGTCTAGGTGCCATGGCCGAGCATATGCATTTTTTTATAGAGGAGGAATGAGGCATGCTATACGATAATGGATAGGATCCATATCTCATAGTGAAAGCATGAGATAGGGTTGCTATCGAGGTAGTGTTGGTGTAAGCAATATTAGCTTATGGAGGATTTGGTCGCGATTGGTAGCGATGCCTACATCGATATACTAAGCAGATGTGTGCTTTTGATTTAAAATAGGGATACCCTACTTTGTTATTTTAATTAAAAAAAAACCTCATAAAACTTTTTTTTTTTCAAAGTGACATCTCGCTTTGGTTTTAAGGCAAAACAGGTATTAACCAAACACAATTTTTAGATAAAAAACGTACTGTGCTTTTTTTGAGAAAAAAATAGAGTATTAATGTGTCGTTTGATTACTAAAAATAAAAAATTTAGGATAAAAATGTAGGAATAGAAATAAAAATTAGGAAATCAAAATGATATTTTTATTCTTATGTTATGTATGAAATGGTAATAAAAAATCGGGATAAAAATTGAAAATTTTTAATATCTAATTTTTAAGACAAATAAGATATGATTTAAAAATTAATTCATCAACCATCATGGTAATAAAAATGATAAAGATCATTGTGTTGATGGCGGTAGTGGTAGCGAAGAAGGAAGTAATGGTGGTAATAATATTATAATAATAGAAATACTATAGTGCAAAAAAATTGATGCCACCACTGTAAAAAATGGTAATGAATAAAAAGTGGTGATGATATTATAATTAAAGTGGTGATGGTGATAAAGGTAATGATGAAAGAGTAGTGGTAGGATGACATAGTAACAATCATATGTGGTGTTGTAGTGGAGAAGGAGGTGGTAGTATTAGCATAGATAATTCATACATAATAAATAATCTCACTTTTTATTCTCATTTTTATTTTATTTTATAAAATGAGAATAAAATTTTCTTTTCTATTTTCATTATTTCATTTCTTTTTATCAAATGACTCCTAAAAGTAAAACAACACCAAACAAACACATAAAAAGAACTTAAAAAGTTTTAAGAGACATTTTAAGAAGAGAAAAAAGAGAAAAGAGGGCCATGTTATGAAAACTCGAATGAGTGACGGTAACGTATATCAACAAGACAGCCCTTGGAAAAGACTGTCGAATCCTAAACTTATTAGGAAACGGATTTTCGAAATACTTTCAAAATCCTTGGAGAGTCTGATAAACCATATTCTAATCCATATAAACAAACATGTATAGGATTTCTTTTAATATGTGATATTTAATTAAAACTTAATTGGAAATATAGGGCTATGTAGGAAACTTAATTAATAAAGTTGTATAATTTCCCTTTCGCTTTTGATCCTGAATGGATCACCTTTTTTCTCCTGTGATCGTGCTTGATTGAATATGCATTGACTTCGGATCCCAAATCAAATACTCAAAGTAACAAAATAAATGCGTAATCGGATGATAATTAAATTCCCGCATGAAACCACCTTTGTGTGTCGACAAACGGAAATTGTTTTTGTCATAACAAAAAGTCAATTTTCTTTTGATATTATTCCACCTTCAGAAAAGATTATCTGGCTTTCTATATTTTGTTCCTAAAATTATACTCCTAGTCAAAATCCATTTGATAAAAAACCTATTCAAGTTAAAAAGAAGATATTATAGTCCATAGAAAAACATGAATTAAAAATGGTAATATTTTGCAATTTCGTATGAAAAATCAAACATCATAATTTCTTTGTTACAATTTTCTTTTTATACATAAAAGGGATGGGCAAAAGGCAGCAACATTAATGGGGGTGGCCGTGCCCGGTAGCCACTTATTGAGAAGGCGTAGCGTTACCATTTCGAAAACAGAAAACAAGAGTGTTCTCTGGACTATTTTCTTTATCAACACTAAGTTCATTGTTTTTTATTAGATTTTTTTTTTTTTAAAGGAAAAAGTAGGTTATCGTTCCTGTATTTACAAATTGAAGAGCTAAACAGTAAATACAATCACACTACTCTACAGCAACACAAAGCATTATAAAGTGTAGTGATTTCTCACTCTTCGTCAAAAAATCTAGGCCAATATTCTTTTTCTCCAAAATGGCTGCTACCAACAAGAAGAGTAAAACTGGATCAATACGATCGATTTTCATGCATGCAGACAGGCTAGATTGGTTGTTGATGGTTCTCGGGTTATTTGGATCCATTGGTGAAGGGTTCTCTACCCCCTTTGTTTTTCTTGTGGCTAGCAAATTGATGAACAATCTTGCCGGTTCAGATTCTGCTACAGATGCCTTCTCTGACAACATCAATAAGGTTTCTTTTACCTTTCTGTCTCCATTTTCACATCAACATACATAGAAGACTTGTTATAACTAGTTAGATCCTTTTGTGCATGGCAGAATGCATTGGCGCTCTGTTACCTGGCTTGTGGACAATGTCTTGTTTGTTTCATAGGTGGGTTTATATTTACGTTTATTATGGTTATCAAATAAAGTATGCCTGAAATGATTGTGTGTTGATGATTAAATAAAATTAATTAAGTCAAGATCAGTACTAATTTTATATTCTATTACTTTTCTTCTGTTTGGTTAGAGGGATATTGTTGGACAAGAACAGGTGAAAGACAAGCTACAAGAATGCGATCAAGATATTTGAAAGCAGTGTTAAGGCAAGAAGTGAGCTACTTCGATTTGCATGTAACAAGTACAGCCGAAGTCATCACTGGTGTCTCTAATGACAGCTTTGTAATCCAAGACGTTTTAAGTGAAAAGGTTGTGTGAAATCTCCTTAAAAAAGTGCAGTTGCTTCTAAATAATTTTACTTCAGGAAAGTATGATGATTTTTTTTATTTAATTGCATCGATTGAGGATGTTAAATTTGATCCTGCAGGTGCCAAACTTTTTGATGAATGCTGCCACATTTGTTGGGTGCTATGTAGTGGCGTTTTTAATGCTATGGAGACTAGCAATTGTAGTGTTGCCATTTATACTGCTCTTGGTGATTCCTGGTGTAATATATGGAAAGATTCTGATGGGATTATCAAGAAAGATGAAACAAGAGTATAGTAAGGCAGAAACAATAGCGGAGCAGGCAATATCTTCGGTGAGGACAATCTATGCCTTTGTTGGTGAAAGCAAAGCCACAGCTGCATATTCTGCAGCTCTACAATTGCCAGTGAAGTTGGGGTTGAGGCAGGGTTTGGCTAAGGGGTTGGCTGTTGGCAGCAATGGTGTTGTTTTCGCTGTTTGGTCATTCATGTCTTACTATGGTAGCAGAATGGTCATGTACAATGGTTCTCAAGGGGGGACTATTTTCAATGTTGGCGCCTGTGTTACGGTGGGGGGCCTGTAAGTATCTTCATCTTTTCTACTTCTTTGAGTTATATCAGTGTCTTTTTACAATCATAATAGAAGGCAACAAATTCCTAGATCTTCTGCATTTGTTTTCCAAAGCTACTGTATTACATCACTAGGTTAATTAGTTTCCTCATTTCCTTGCTACTTCCTCTAGCGAAAATTAAACCTCTCTGACTATGGAAAGTGGGTTCCAAGCACATTATTTACATTTTTTCCCTTGAAGATTAGGGGAAAGTAGGATCAATAATGACTCAAATGTAAGAAAAGAAGGGGAAAAGTTGAGAGCAGGAAAGATTTATTTTTAGGTAGATATTCGTCGAGGGATGGATAGCCAGAAAATGAAGGTGTAGATTTAAATTGGAAAAGAGGGAGTAATTTTTGCTCCTACTATTAGATTAGTTTGAATCATAGATCAATTTTTATTATTGTCATTGATTGATGTTTCTGTTGTTTAATATTAGAGCACTTGGAGCTGGTTTATCCAATATGAAGTACTTCGCAGATGCATTTTCTGCTGGAGAACGTATTATGGAAGTGATAAGAAGAGTCCCCAAAATAGACCTAGAAAACATGGAAGGTGAAATTTTGGATAATGTTAGAGGGGAAGTCGAATTCAGACAAGTAAAATTTGCGTACCCGTCAAGGCCAGAAAGCATTATTTTTGAAGGTTTTTGCCTACAAATCCCAGCAGGGAAAAGTGTGGCCTTGGTTGGTGGTAGTGGGTCAGGCAAATCAACAGTGATAGCATTATTACAAAGATTTTATGACCCACTTGGCGGAGAAATACTTCTTGATGGAATTGCTGTTGATAAGTTGCAACTCAAGTGGCTAAGGTCACAAATAGGTTTGGTGAGCCAGGAGCCTGCACTATTTGCAACAACAATTAAGGAGAACATACTTTTCGGCAAAGAAAATGCAACGATGGACGAAGTTGTTGAAGCTGCCCAAGCTTCTAATGCTCATAATTTCATTTGCCAGTTACCTCAAGGGTACTCTACCCAGGTTAGTGGGATCATGTTGATTAGCTATTTTTATTTGATGTTGCAAGCTAGAAAATAAAAATAGTTTCATGTTCACGGAAAATAAATCACATCTTTTAATTGTTACATTCACAACTTCTTTGTTTTTTTTTTTTTTGGAGAAATATTAAATTCACAACTTAATGTTTCAAATTAAAAGCCTTACAACGTTACCATAAAGAGTTTGTAACCTAGTGGTAGTGATCTTTTACAACAAGAGATTACGGATTCAAGTTTTAATACATTAGTTTTAGTTCTATTAAAAGCTTTGAGTGTGTGAGTTGAAAAAAAAATATTTTTAAAAAAACCTAGTTCTATTAGAAGCTTTTGGTGTGTAAGTTGAAAAAAAAAATATTTTAAAAAAAAACTAGTTCTATTAGAAGCTTTTGGTGTGTGAGTTGAAAAAAATATATTAAAAAAAAATAGTTTCATGTTTATGGAAAGTAAACCACATCTTTTAATTGTTAAATTCACAACTTAATGGAAATTAATGGTTCAAATTAAGAGCCTTAAAGCATTATTAAAGAGCTTGTAATCCAAGTAATAATGGTCTTTTGTAAAAAAAGGTTAGAGATTCAAATCCTAACACATTAGTTCTACTAGAAGCTTTATGCCTGTGAATTGGAAAAAAAATATTTAAAAAAAAAAAAGCCTTACAGCATTTACCTTTAACTGTGAATCTTGGACCGTTAAATCCAATGACAAATGTGCTTGATCTCCATGGACAAATCACATGCATAATACTCGGTAATGGGGCAGTAGTGCAGTACTCTTTTTTCTTTTTCTTTTTTCTTTTTTCTTTTTTTTTTTTTTTTTTTCAGGATACAAAGCATTATTTAAAATAAAATGTGCTAAATCATACATTTCACCATTAACAGGTTGGTGAGAGAGGTACTCAAATGTCAGGAGGGCAAAAGCAAAGAATTGCTATTGCACGAGCAGTAATCAAATCACCTAGAATCCTCCTCCTCGACGAGGCTACAAGTGCATTAGACTCAGAATCCGAACGTATTGTCCAAGAAGCCCTAGACAAAGCATCCCTAGGGCGAACCACGATCATCATTGCTCACCGACTCTCCACCATTCGTAATGCAGATGTCATTGCTGTGGTCCAAAATGGTCAGGTCATGGAAATTGGGTCTCACAATGAATTAATCGAAAATGAGTGTGGTATATACGCCTCCCTAGTTCGTCTTCAACAAACACAAACCGAAAAACCTAAAGAAAATGTCACTACAACTTCAGTGTCCTCACCAGTTATCACAGTAATGAACACTACTAAAACTAGTGGTCGAAGATTATCACTAGGGCAGAGATCACGTTCTGCCAATTCGGTAGCACCAACTCAAGTTTCAATCAGTACTGAAGAAAATGTAGTGATGGAAGAGCAAAAATTTTCGGCACCATCATTTCCAAGATTGTTGGCACTGAACTTACCAGAATGGAAGCAGGCAAGCTTTGGATGTATAGGTGCAATTTTATTTGGTGGCGTTCAACCAGTATATGCATTTGCATTAGGGTCAATGATATCCGTGTTCTTTTTGAAAGATCACAACGAGATTATGGAGAAGATAAAGATTTATTCTTTTTTCTTTTTGGGGTTGACATTTTTCTCGTTGATCATTAACGTGATTCAGCATTATAGTTTTGCATACATGGGTGAGCATTTGACGAAGAGGATTAGAGAGAGGATGCTTTCAAAGATTCTCACTTTTGAAGTTGGGTGGTTTGACCAAGATGAGAACTCAAGTGGTTCAATTTGCTCAAGACTCACCAAGGATGCTAATGTGGTATGTGTTGTTAGTTTATATTAATTGTTCATGTCTGATATGCATAAACCACCATGATTGATTGGCTAAGCAAGTTTTGGTTAAGTAGATCACGTCATTCGGATTTTGTCTTTTAACTAATTGCTCATCTTATATTTTCTAATTCCCACCCTTGATGTACATTAAAATGTCATTGCATTTTATATATGCCAATTATTGCTGATCGATATAATTTAAGCTGAACCCTATAGTTTTTCCAGAGATGCCATGTATAGTAGCTGCACACGGTGGTTTCCCAATCCCATTTCAAAGCTTATAATATTGATTATTGAGCAGAACATCTTTTTCTTCTTCTTCTTCTTTGCACATTACGCACCACTTTTCCTTAGTCTTTCATGTCTCAATAACGTTATTGGTTCTGTGCAGGTGAGATCACTAGTGGGTGATCGAGTGGCTCTTGTTGTTCAAACAATCTCAGCAGTAACCATAGCGTGGACCATGGGTTTGGTAATTGCTTGGAGGCTTGCCATTGTGATGATAGCAGTCCAACCCCTCATAATTGCCTGTTACTATACCCGTCGTGTTCTACTCAAAAGTATGTCCAGAAGGGCTATCAAAGCCCAAGACGAAAGCAGCAAGCTTGCTGCAGAGGCTGTTTCCAACCTACGAACCATCACTGCCTTCTCTTCCCAAGAACGAATCCTGAAAATGCTCGAGAACGTCCAAGAAGGTCCACATAGAGAGAACATTCGGCAATCATTGCTTGCAGGTATTGGGCTTAGCACTTCTCAAAGCCTAATGTCATGCACTTTGGCTCTGGACTATTGGTATGGCGGCAAACTCATTGCTCAAGGCTACATTACCGCAAAAGCAATGTTCGAGACCTTCTTGATCTTGGTAAGCACTGGTCGTGTCATAGCTGATGCTGGAAGCATGACAATGGACTTATCCAAGGGTTCAGACTCTATTCAGTCGGTCTTCGCTGTGCTGGATCGACACACAAAAATTGAACCTGAAGACCTTGAAGGTTACCAGCCAGAAAAAATCACGGGCCATGTAGAGCTTCAAAACGTGGATTTTGCATACCCAGCTAGGCCTAATGTGATGATCTTCCAAGGTTTCTCAATCAACATCGAAGCAGGGAAATCAACAGCATTGGTGGGACAAAGTGGATCAGGAAAATCAACCATCATAGGATTAATTGAGAGATTTTATGATCCACTGAGGGGGACAGTAAAAATAGACGGTAGAGATATCAAGTCATATAACCTAAGGTCACTAAGGAAGTGCATTGCTCTAGTTAGTCAAGAACCCACATTATTTGCTAGCACCATTAAGGAAAACATCATGTACGGTGCATCATCTGATAAAATCAACGAATCAGAGATCATCGAGGCAGCTAAGGCAGCCAACGCTCATGATTTCATATCCGGGCTAGAAGAAGGATACGACACATTTTGCGGAGAGAGGGGAGTGCAGCTATCAGGGGGCAGAAACAACGCATCGCAATAGCTCGTGCCATACTGAAAAATCCAGCAGTGTTGTTGCTAGACGAGGCAACTAGTGCACTTGATAGTCAGTCGGAGAAGGTAGTGCAGGAAGCAGTAGAGCATGTAATGGTGGGGAGGACAAGTGTGGTGGTGGCACATAGGTTGAGTACCATACAAAGTTGTGATCTCATTGCAGTTTTAGACAAAGGGAAGTTGGTGGAAAAGGGGACTCACTCCTTTTTGTTGGCCAAGGGAAATACTGGAGCGTACTATTCATTGGTTAGTCTCCAAAGCAGACCACACAACACCTCATCATAATTTGGATTGAACCCTAACTTTCTATGAAAATGGTGGAAGTGCTGCAATTTATTTAAATACAATTACCTGTATGTTCTTTCAACACTCCGCAAACTATGCTTTTTTTCTCTTTCACTAGAGGAAGTTCAATTTATAAGCATGGAACTTTGTTTTATCTAAAAATAAAAAATAAAAAATAATAATAATTTTACACCATACGAAAAAATGAAAGAACATTACTCTTCCATTAGTGTTGCTATCAACTAATTTTTATTACCTTTTGTTTTACACATTTTTCTTAAAAAATAAAAAATTAATGTTTTTTGTTTAATTTGCTTGATTGTGTAATATTTATCTTAGAGTTAGGATTTTTAAAGGTCCTACGATTTTTAGGAGTTTAGAAAAATTAACAAAAAAGAAAAAGAAAAAAAATGAAGAGAAGAAAAAGAAAAAAAGAAGAGCAAAGAGAAGAAAAAGAGAGCAAGTAAACAAAAGAAGAAAAAGAGAGAAGAAAATAAAAAGAAGGAAGAGATAAGGTTTAAATGTAGGAAAATAAAAAAAGTTAGGGCCAATGTGAAAATACAGAAAACTCTAACTAATCCTTCTATATAAACATCTCTTCAGCTCTCACGTTGGGAGGAGGCCATTTTTCATTCATTTTTTTCTGAAAAAAAAAAACTACAAAGAAAGAAGGAAACCCTCTCTCGCACTCTCTCAAAACCCACCACCATCAAAGACTCAAAACTCCATAGCCACTCCAAAGCCGTTGTTATGAAATCGAAACACCCTCGACTTAGTACCTAAATACTTTTAGGATATTATTGTCATGCCTCACAATAGATGTAAGACACAAGACATTGTGTCCTTCCTATGGTGGTATTAGGTATAGTTTTTTTCTGAAAAAAAAAAAAAAAAAAAAAAAACTACGAGAGAAAGAAGGAAACCCTCTCTTCACTATCTTGAAACCCACCACCATCAAAGACTCAAAATTCTATAACCACTCCAAAGTTGCTATGAAATCCGTAACACTCTCGACCTATGAACTAAATACTTTTAGGATATTGTTGTCGTGCCTCCAAGTAGATGTAAGAAAACAAGGCATTGTGTCCTTCCTATAGTAGTATTAGGTATAGTTTTTGTTATGGATGCCTATTAAATAATCAATAGGTCTTGTTATATTTGCAAATTTCAATCCAAAAGACACTATTATTTTTTTTTAACATTTTATTTTAATAGTTTAGGCTGAAATAATTGTATCCATGTCTCTCGATTTTGTCAAATTCTTTTTCTAATAGCTAGAATAAATTTATCTAAGCGATACCCGTTACTCGATAGCCTATTTTTTTCTTTATTAATTATCATTTTTAATTATATAACTTGACTACTTGTATCATTATTATTAAATGGTAGTTTGCAGCTATTAAACTACAAAACTACAACTACATGCTATTATGTTATTATATATTTAACATGTCCAAAATCGATTGACGTATAATCTATTTATCTTTTACATGACAACCAATTTAGTAACACACTAATATCAAAAGTGGTTTATTTATTTACAAGTCTATTTTTTCTTTTACTAGCTAACCAACTACCTATTCATTACTTTGACTATCATGTAGAACAAAGTAGCCATACCCAAAACATACACCAAAATGCTAAGAACGAATAGCATTACGACAAGAAGTAGGTCCGGCTTGCAGTCGTAGGTAAGATGCACTCTTTGGAAAGACGAGGGAATTCTCTTAGTAACAAGATCCCTAAAAACTATAACCATCACTCTACACTCTTCACCCTTACATCATAAGAACTACGTATGCGATTAGTAAATTAATCATGCATGCCATGTATATATGCAAATGAAATGCACTTTTGCAAGTAAATACACTTTGAAATCGTTGCCATGTTCCTCTCTAAAATCATTTCCTTTCCATGAAATCTTTGTCATGTTCATTCTGAAAAATCTTTTTTGTGCTCGAGTGTGCCTTGCCAAGTGTCTAAATGTACACATATATATGTGCTCAACCCTCTTTCCCTAAGCATTTCTCCCGTAAGGCCATTACCAGCTTCCCTACGACCAAAGCCATTATTAATTCCCTCGGTGAGAAATATCATTTTTGTCGGCTATAGTCATTACCAATTCCCCTAGCGAAGAGATTCTTGAGCGAGAGGCCATTACCAATTCCCTTAGCAAAGGAAATGTCGGGGATCATGAAAACTATAAAAAACCATGAAAGCCATGAAAACCTTTCCTTTGCCTTTGAAAAATCATGAAGAAAAACCTTTTCATGATTTTGAACTTTTCCATGACTCTAGTATGCATATGCATTTTAATGTAAATGCATAAATCAATGTAATGCATGTCATGAATATGTGTGCATGTATGCAATGGAAATTGCATACCTTAACATAATAAAATGCACATCGACCTACTACCTTTCCATGTATCACATTCCAATCAAGGTGCACAATTCAATCACGACAAACATTTAACACGAGTTACCATGTAACATCACATTCACCATTCAAGCAACTAGGCATTGCACAATTCATTCATCCATGTCCCAATTTCCATAAGCAATAGCAATCATACCACAAACACTTAATTGCAAACTTTGAACACATGTATTATAATTAATCCATTATAAAACCACTAATTGCAACCATCATAATACACAAATCAACTTCTTAATCCTAATTTTCTTACCTTAGGTCGAATGTGCACCTAGTTTGAGCTAGGTGGATTATTCAATTTTAATGCCAATGTCCATGCTAAATCATCTTAATATACTTAAATAATGTTTAATAAACCAATTAAACATCAATACATCAAATAAACTAAAAATCCTAATTTTTATTATTTAGGCCGAATGTATGCCTAAATAAAACTAGATGTATTTTTTTCAATTTTAAGATTAATTCTCATGCTAAATCATCTAATTGCAATACAATAACAAATTTTCAATCAATTAAACATCAATAAAGCAAAAGTACAATAAACCCTAAATTCTACTATTTTGGCTAAAAGTTTCTCTAGGAATAGGCTAGGTAGTTTTGCATTTTTCCTACCTATTTTCATGCTCAATTAACATATTCCAACTTCAATTTTATCAATTACAACCTTTAATCCATTTTTTCCAATTTTACATAATCAAGAATCCTAACCCTAATTTATGAAATTAATTCAATCAAACTTAAATTAAAGGTGCAAAACCAACAATTCACACCAAATAGCATGTTCTTGTGATGTAAGTGAGATTAGCTTACCTTAATTGCCCTAATTTAGTCCCTTTTATAGGTTGAATTTCCTTGCAAAGTTTCCTTCTCTAAGTTTTGGCCACTTTTTAATTTTTTCCTCCTTGATGCTTTTAATCTTCTAACCATAATTCTTGTTATGTTTTTCCACCAGTTCAATATTTAATTAAGTCTTAATTACTCAATACTTTCGTGCGCTTCTTTATTTTTTTCTCCTTATTGATCACAGTTTGTCTTATAAGTAAAAGATTTCCGTTGTGTACCCCCTGAGTGGTTGAATTACCGTGGCCTCGGCATTTGTCAACTATATTACACATATATATATTTTTAAAAAATATATATGTGGTTTCCCTGTGACTGTTTTCTGATACAGTTAATTAAAACGATGTCGTTTGTCGGTTTGGGTTTTTACTATTGTTTTGCCAAAAAAAAAAAAAACGAATTTTTGGTATGTTATTCGTTTTTAATTCTTTGGTCTTTCAAGTTATAACTTTATACAAAAAGGTCCCTTAATTTATTTTTTATTGCAATAAAGTCTCTAAATTTTTTATGGCTAGGTTGTACTTTTAATCCAAGCGTGTGACCCGGTGTTAGCCCAACCCAATCTATTTTTTTCCTTTTTGATGCCTTAATTTTTTATTTATTATTTAATCAAAATAATTTTTATTTTTATCTTTATGCTAGTATTTTTTATTTATTATTTACTCAAAATAAATTTTTTCTTTATAATTAATGGATTTTTTTATACACTCATTAACTAAAATTAAACACTCTTCTAATATAATTTGATTTAGCTAATTTGATTTTTTTAAAATAATTAATTAATTGCATATTTTCATTTTTTTAATTGGTCAAAATCAAAAATATTTTTAGAATATATTTAAATTCAATTATGAAATCTATACATTTTCCTAAATATTGCATAATTTATAAATTAAGCAAATTTTCATATTAGTGTTAATTAATTTTTATTTTACTCCTAGATTTTTTAATTATTTAAAATAGTAAAAAAATTTATGGATACTTTTTCATTTTTTATAGACTCATTAACACAATTAAACACTCTTATAATATAAATTAATTTAACACATTCTTCTAATTTTATTTATTTTAAAAAATAAATAAATAATTCCATCGTTTTGTTTTTTCTTTGTTTTTTTTTATTGATAGAAATCAGAAATATTCCTAGGATATATTTAAACTCAATTATGGAATATATATATATATTCTCACCATTGGTATTAATTAATTTTTATTTTATGCTTAGACTTTTTTTTATTATTTAAAATACTAAAACATATTATACCTGCGGCAATGTACGAGTACTGTCCTAGTTGAATACTAAATAATTGAACATGTCAGTCCATCCCATTAAACTCGCCCATGAATTGTGTTTGAGAATGTAATGGTAGTGGGAAAAAGAGAAGGGGAAAATTAGTCAAGATGTCGACTTTCTTCCTTTTGGGTAATTTGCAAGAACATTCTAATAGAAACCAAAGAAAATAGTTTTTACTATCTATCTTCATTAGCTTAGGTCTGAAATCTATCTACAAGTGTAGAAATCTATCTAACTATACGTCATTAATGATATTCTAACAGTTTCAACATTTAGCTTAATTCTAAATTGTAACAGCGAAGATTACTGTAATTTCAGTCTTATAATCCTATCCTATTATTATACCTTAACATCCACCCTCAAATTGATGCTAGGTAGGTAGACAATCACATCAATTTGTTAGTTAAAAAATCATGTCTATTTCTCGTAATTACTTTAATAAATATGTTAGTTAACGGGTTTTGTGACTTAATGTAAGGCAAGGTAATGAATCCTTTATAGAGAAGTTATGTAGTTACATTTAATCTCAATACATTTGGTACACTCATGAAAAACTAGATTGTTTGCAATTTGAATAACACTCGTGTTATCGACAAGAAGCTATAAAGGTTCCTGTAACTTCACACCAAGCTCAACGAGTAATCCATAAAGCTAAACAATTTTTAAACATGCTGCAGACATAAAGCGATACTCTTCCTGTATAGAGGGTTTAGAAACACAATCTTGCTTCTTATATTTTCATAATGCTAGTGAATTACCAAGATGCATGCACCAAACTATTATGGAATGATGAGAATTCGAGCATCCCTGCCAGTCTACGTCTACAGAACTAGTAAATTGAATTGTAGAGGAGGATGAGAGAAAGATATCTTGCCCAATTGTATTTTTAAGTAACGAATAACTCAATGGAGAGCAGCCAAGTGAAGTTAACAAGGATAAGATACAAATTGAAAAAGAATTTGAACAACATAGGAGATACCATACCTTCATTGTGAGATCCACCAAACTCCTAACCAGATTACGATAATATGTAGGATCTGGAAATTGTCTTCCCATCATCTTTCTTATATTTGACATTTACTTCTATAGGAGCATGTACAATCTTTTCACATGTCAAGTTAGCTTCATGAATGATATCAATAGTGTATTTAGTTTGTTTCCAAGTTGAGAAGTGGATGTAAAAGCATCAAGATTCTTCATATGAAAAGAAGAGTGAAGTAGCGCTCTTTAAGATCAGAAATGCATGTAGTTATAATAATATCATCAATATAAAGAAGCAAAATAATTGGTTAATGGTTAATGGATTAAATAGAATTTAATATATAAGAAATAAATGAATTTAATAAAGTAGTTTAATTGGTAAGTTTAAATTATTTGGAACCATTGTTCCATAAGCCCAAGAATTATTTTCAATGGCCAATTCTTTAATTAAAGGTCTAATGAATTTATTAAGTGTTTAATTGAATTAATTAATGGAAATTCTAACCAAAAGAATTTTTATTAAAATAATAGTATGAAATCAATATTTAATAGTTTAATATAAAATGTTTATCTTCTAATTAAATTGATTGTATTGTATTTAAATTAGTTTTTGAAATGAAAATAATATGGATTTATCATATAGATTATTTCAAAATTGAATATTTCTATTTTAAATAAAATATGAATTTCTAGATGAAATTTGAAAAAAAATAAAACACATAGTACTATTCATTATAATATAAGAAATTTTATTTAAATGGTTAAATTGGAATCCAAGAATATGAGTTTTTGACCAAATTATGATATTTAATATTTCTTCACATAATATAGGAATATTAATCGGTGTTGAATTTTCAAAAAAATTTATTCCTAAGTTTTAATTAACTATGACATTTGGTGTGAGAAAAATGCAATAAATTTGTTGAAAAAAAAAATACAATTTTGATGCCCAACTTTTAATTAATTTATTTTTCTATTTTAATGTCCAACTAGTAAATTCTTCTACTTTAATGCCTAATGTTTAAATTATTTTTTTCTATTTTGATGCTCATAGTCACTTGAAAGAATGAAATTCTGACATGTCCGAAATGGTCTATCACATGACAATAAACTACCATGTAGCTTTTTTACTGCTACATGACAATTCATGTTGAACACGTCGCATTTCATACTTTTAAGTGATTGTGAAGAATAAAAAAAAAAACTTAGGTACTCAAAAAGAAAGAAATTACTGATTGAACACTGAAATGGAAAAAAAAAATTCAAAATTAGAGTACTAAAAATACAATTTTCTAAATACCATAAATATAAAAGCCAAAAATTCATTAATTTCTGAAGCATTTAGACAGCATATCATATTCCTTTAGGAGATAAATCTATGGCAGAATGCACAATGTGGGGATTCAGACTTCTAAATATTAATTAAATAGTGAATTTAAACCTTCCCACTCTTTACTGTCTTCACTTCCTCCTTCAAATTCTGTCAGCTAATGGTCTTAAAAAAATTAAAAATAAAAATAAAAATAAAAAAAAGGCTGAATCGCCAAGTCCAACGTTATGATGCTTCTTTCGTGGGATTGTACAATTCAGGCAAAATACTTTATTAGAAATATAACATCACGAATTTCAATTCTGTTTAGAAAACATTGCATGCTCAATTGAATAGCATATAGGACTCTCTCCTCATCTTTGCAATGGCCATTAAAATCTTTGATTCAAAGAGAATTGAATCAAGCGACCTGGAAAGTTGTGAACTTCCGTAATGAAAACCAATCAATGTAATGTACGTTGAACTTCTTCTCCACCCGTAGTCATGGCATCATCTCAGAAACTTATGGTAGCGAGGGAAATGGTATAGGTGTTCAAATTTGGTGCACGACACATTTTCAGTTTGGCTTCACGACAATAATAATAATGATGATAATAATAATAATAATAAACCCCATGTTCAACCGACAAGTCACTGGCTACAGCTCCTCGTGGACTATTCTGAGAAAAATATTAAAAGAAGGTCGGGTTTGTAACCATAGCAGCTTCCTGGCTAGCTTCCAAAAACCAAGTCAACTAAGAGAAACAGAATTAAATTCAGTTATGTAAATTGTTTTAATTCTTTCATGGCATCCGTATATCACATCCAAACTTATAAACTTTGACACGGCTGCAGCTTTTATAAATTCAAAGAGCTTATGTTTATAGGAACAAAACTTTGGAACTCTGGTGCTGCCAAACTGAAGGTTCATGATCTTACTGAATTATGGCAGAGTATACTTCCTATTCCCCAAGTTTAGCTAGAAACTTCCTCGATTATCTTAGCCTAGGGGCAGAGACTTTTATCTGTCGTTTCATAGAAGGGTTCTGGATTCTTTCGCCTATATCTTCACAGTGACATCTTATTTGTTGGCTTGGATACATTAATTCAACGCTTAGTCGAAGTACTTATACTTGGGACTCTATTGATTTCAAATGGTTTTTATTCATGTTTATCAAGCTTTAAGTCTCCTAACCTTCTACCAGAGGACTAAAAGTACAGCAGCTGACACTGGAAAAATTTGACGCCAAAGACTAACAGAAAAGGAAGAGCTTTCATTACTTGGGCCATTTGGAATCAACTGTCAGGGTTCATACAAGCAAAGCATAGTATCTCTCAAGTCCACAATTATAGAGTGCTTATAGAAAAGGCTCATACAAACTATATGCTAAAAAGGAAAAAAGAAAAAACAAGAAAAAAGGTATTTTGAACCGTCTGTTCTCAGTTAAAGAATTGACACAATACATTCGTTCTCTCTCAAGAAATTCACATGTTTCTGAATAAACATTGAAAAAATAATATAGTTTTGCATTGAACATACAAGAGCAAGAATGCTGCTCTAATTTCACAATAGAGTAAGATGAGAAAGTAATTTCTGTGAAGGTTTAAATTGGCAACTGGCATAAAGCTAGTCTAAGACTCAGAGGTCCTTGTTTCCAAATCCCCTACTAATGAAATAATATTTCTGTGTAAGAAATCTAACCGTTTTGTGCAATACTCTCAAGTGGAGATACCAAAGCATCCTTGAGTTCCTGCTTTGTGAGAAGGCTAGTGGTGTGAACAAATCTTCCTTCATGAGCTGTACCAATTGTCTCCAAGTTCATTGGTTGCAGTGAAAAATGGGTTTCAAGAGCCTTTGTCGTTTTCTCGATGAAAACTGATCTTGACAAATATTCCTTCATTCGACAAATGAATTCATTGTGGTCTCTTTCCTGCACAGTAAATTGGAAGTATAGGCTTCATTGAGTGCTCTTTCAGTAATTATAATATCAGAACTTTTCTGCACTCCATACTTCCAAAATTCCAATAGGTACAGCTCAAAAAATATATGAATAGAACAGCACAGATACTTAAGTAACTTTTCTGCACTCCTGTCCTCTTATCTCTTCTGCCACAACTATTGTGTGTTTATTCTATAGGTTTCACATATATAAAATGTCATGGCATGCATCATGCACCAACAGGATGAAACATGCTCATAATTGGAATAAACTGCAAGTTATCTAAGAACTGCCATACCCAATAAAAAATGTGAACGAAAAATGAATAATCTATTTCATCAAGAACATATCCAAAGATAATTAGTTCATTACAATTAAAGTTGTCCAGAACTTATTAAGGATACCAGAATTTCACACTGATCTTTGAAATAGTAGCATCCCCGGAAAATATTTTTTGTTTGTTTTAATGTCATAGGATCTGCAGTGAGAGCAAGATAATAACTGATCCACCAAGAAGTAACCAATTAAATTACAGCATAATTTTCAGTGTGAAAGTCTTATTGGCAAGACAGAGAGCTCAAGAAAGACTTAGAAGGAAATAAAATACCATTCTATATTCAGGAGCCCGTGCAGGTAGCTTCAAGTAAGCCATGTTCCTGTCCTCATAATCCCATAAGAAGGAAGTATGGTGTATCCAGCGATTTTTTGTTATAGACTGTGCGTTTCCACCAAATTTACGATCACCGAACACATAATCTGAAAGCAAATATTTTTTACATGTAAGATAAATCATATAGTTATAGCTGCCATTTGAGGTGGTCTTCAGGCTTATAAGACCAAAACAAAAAACAAATTTCGCTCCAAACAACAGATGAGAGAGATTGACATGATTGTTTAGACAACTATGATTGAGAACATCACGCATCTAACAGCCTAAAAACAAGCTTAATTCTACCAGTGTCCTACGCATTATATGAACAAAGGGAAAAATCCTTTTAATCCAAAGATAGTAGTACCATTCTCATGGAGTTGGAAATCGCCAATCCCTGGAAACACTTGACTATACAAAAGGCCACTCCAAGACATTATGGAACGAGGATATGGTTGAACTCCAGGAACATCATCCTTGTTGCATATAAGAGTGACAAAAATAGTCCCTTGGTCAACAATAACAGTGCCACCCCCAGTAAACCTTCTGATGACAGGAACCTCATCTCGTAACACAGACTCAAGTTCAAGAAGTTCTGAAGGTTTCCTATGTAAAGTATTCACCTCTATCAGTATGCATATCCCAAGAAAATGAAATGCGGATGAAAGCAAAGAAAATACTCAGGTATCTACAGATGCTTGATCGTTCGAGTATATCACAAGTCAACAAAGAAAGTTACATGGGACATTAAAGGCAAGTGTCTTAAATCAATTCTCCTTTCTTCTTTGTTTTTCGCTATGGAAGAAAAGAGCAAGACAGTGGAAAACAAAGACATTAAACTTCCTAGTTCCTGGCTGCCTAAAACGGATAAGTTGTGGCAAAGGATAGGATGAACCACATTTATTCTAAACTTATCTACGAAACAACGATGACTCCAAACATAACCTCGCAACAGCTAATTTTACCAAGCTCTAACATTGAAAAAAGCACATCTATAAACTTTGATTGAAGAGTCCCATTGAAACCATTGATAACTATTCAAAGAGTGGGTAAACAATCTTTAAAAAAGGCTAAGATTACCCGAAATTTCAGCTTATCTTCCAATTCGCAAGAACCAGCTGCTATAAATGCCTACCTTACTAAAGTATCATCAAAGAACTCCTCTTTCAAAACTATTACACAAACACATGTAGAGTAAATTGTCCTTAACACTGCTAAAAATTGAAAACCCATTTCTATCGATTAAAAATAATTCTCAGTAAGTAATTCAGTCAGCAAAAAGAAAAAAAAAAAGATGAGAGTTAAAAGTTGTTTACCCAGACATGCCCATGACAATGGCTGGAGCATTAGTTCCATCATTAACAATACACCAATTATCTGAAGAAGTACGAAGTAGCTTTTCCTCCACAAATAGTTGCTCTAAAATGGGTTTTCCTTTGAATCTTACAACATTCATTAATGGCAACCCAACTTTCCTTGCTTCAAGCACTATTCCCATTTTGATCAATATAAAAAAAGAAAAAAAAAAACAACACTGCCAAAATAAAATGGGGACCAAAAAAGAGTTGGTTAGGAACAACGAAGACCAAACATAATCATACTGTGTCTTATTTTTTTACCTTAAAAATCAATCTGCTGGTTTTTCTTGGATCAGTCTGTGGTATCGGAGGTGGAAGGAACCAGGAAGATAAATCTTTAGGCTTGACTTTAGACGTATAGGTAGAAGAAGAAGGTGATACGTCGTCGGGTGGTCTCATAGTGCACAGCGGGTTACGAGTAGAAAAATGGGCTTGGAAAGTTTCGGTTTTGGGCTCGATCTAATTTAGATTAATAACAAAACTATATACGAACTTGTGGAAACTTTTCTATCAAATAGAAGGGGAAAAAAAAAAAAACATTGAAATATATATATATATTTCAAACCTTTTTTTTTTTTTAAACATGTGTTTTTTTTTTAATTCTATAAAATATTAGAAAATGTCAAAAAAGTTGAGTCATGTTCAAATGTTGTAAATAATATCTCCATACAAGTTTATTTCATTAATTTTTTTTAATGTTTTCTATTAAAAAAAAGCATTTTCATTTTCTTAGGTAACTAAAAATATTATTTATGATTTAAAAAAATTTCTAAGTTGTTCTGTATGTAGTTTCTATTAACATAAGAATTTCCTTACATTTTCTCTTCTTATGTTTCCATCTATTTATTATTATTACTTGTTGTTATTATTAGTTTATGTTATTGATGAAGAAATTGATTACAATGTTAAGAGAATATCATTGTCTCGACCCTTTAAAAATTACATGAAAATGTATTAAAATGGTAGGAGGATTTTTTTTTTTTTAACCTATTGTTGGTCACACGGACTAGCATTAAATGTTGGTCGCTCATACCAACGACTAGGGGTGAGCAAACGGTTCGGTTAACCGAAAATCGAATACAACCGGATCGAATTATGGAATATAGTTTGGTTTTGAATTTTAAATTTTATAATTTATAACCGAATCATAAACCAAAATTTATTTCGGTTTGATTTGATTTTTTTAAAAAAAAAAATCGGTTCAAATCGAAAACCGAGAAAATCGCAAAATTCCTAATCTATTTCTAATTTCTAAATCCCTAACTCGGTAACCCTAAGACCTAAATGATAGACTCGCTTCGGTCTCATCTCTCACTCTCTCTTTCGACTTTCTTAAGAATCTTAACACCGAAACTCACTTCTTCGGTTCTTCTCACTATCTCACTAGCGTCACTACTCACTAATTCCGTCTTCTTCCCAAACCTCCTTGGCTCCTTCGACTTCATTTCTTTCTTCTCTACTCCAATTGGTCCTCCGGACTCCATCGCTCCAATTTGCTCACTCGTCACCCCTCACAAGTCAAAAGTCATAACCCAGGTAACCCTTGTCATCTTTCTTCGATCTCACGAGTCATGGTGATCCTCATCGGTCATCGCCCTCCTCCTCGGGTCCTCCTACTCGGGCTACCTCAGCTGTTTTTGCCGGTTGCCTCTTCGTATCTTCCTCTTCTCGCGAGCTCTCCCTCGTCTCCCAAAGTCGGTCTCTTTTTTTTTTTACCGAAAATAATAATGTATTGGCAAAAGAATGTATGGGTTGAATTCTTAACAACTTGTCTATATGGAAGTCCATTTTGTTTTCCCCGATTTCCTATCGTGTGGAGTGTGGTGATTGCTTGATTGGTGGTCTCTGTTGTGTTGATGAGTTTGTTTGTTGTTGAATGTATGGGTCTCCGATTTTTGACTTCATCCTTGAGTTAAATTATTGATATCTTGATCCCGTAACCCAAGTAAAATATCCGGCTTCATACATGCTTGTTATAGCATTACTTTGCTTAGGAACTATAACAACAAGTATGGCATTGGATGAGGCAATGATATAGTGCCTCTTGTTGCTTGCTCCATCTTGGAATCTAGTTTGGATCACTATCATAATTATTGACTCGCATCTATATATATTCAACCACATGTATCTTAAAATTATTCAACCTAATATTTCCTTTTCACTTCCTTCAATTTTAAGCCCTTGCTTTTTAGCTCTTTCTTACATAATTTCACTCGGTGCATGAAGTGCGTACGGTTCTACTCTACATAGTGCCTTCGGTGCTTTGCCTTTTGCCTTTTGCCTTATGTAGATGAAGTAATGGAACCATTTGGGTTTCTATGTTCAGGAAACTATGCCACGGAGAAATCTCTTGTCGCCGGATGCATAAACCATTTATCTTCTATCACTTTTGTTTTGTCATATGGTTTCCACCACTTAATCTGTAAATATGATGTGTGTAAGAGGGAAAAATCTGTTACTACCATGACAGGTGATGCGGCATGTTGGCGACTGGCACTCGGTTACAAGAAAATTAAGGATCACCCGAGATTTGAATGTTGATAACAAATTTGCATGTGAGATTTTTTCGTGCTTCGTTGCATTCTCTTGGAGACTTGTGTTATGATAAAATTGTTTGGGAATTTATCCGTGCTTTCTCCCTCATGCTTACCTTGCGGGGATTTATGTTTAGGTTATTTGTGCATGTCGGTGTTGAATTTTTTGACACGTGTATGGATGGATGGTCTTATTTGAATTAGTCCGGTTGATGCATTACCGAGATTATGAGAATTGGCATGTTGGTTTTTGGGATTTACGAGTGTTGTTATGTTCCAAGTGTATTTAGAATTGCCTATATGAAGCCTATGTATGACACTACCATACCATTGCGGCTCCGGACCTTTCATTTGTTTTTTTTTTCCGATTAAGGTTCGAAAGGTATGGTCGTTCAATAAAATCCTAACTACATGATTTTGTTGTCTTTGCTTGCTTTTTCTTTTTCGAAATTGCTCTTGTTTCCAACCTTTTTATTTTTTTACAAGATTACCTTTTTATTGTTTTTATAACTATGGAAGCAAGAGTTGGCGGTATGAATATCATATTGTTTTTGAGTTTTGAATTGTAAACTAGGAATGCTTAATTAGATACACTCGGTTATATATATATATATATATATATATATATATATATATAGCATCAAAAGTTTGATTAAAACCAAATTATTTCGTTACCGAACCGAAATAATTTGGTTACAAATCGAATTACCCAAATTAATTTTGGTTTGGTTTTGGTTTTCATTTTTTCTAATTCGGTTAACCAAAAATCGAATCGAATTAAGCTTAACCAAACCATTTAACCGTTTGCTCACCCCTACCAATAGCCATCGTTGGCTATGCGAGCCGACGAATAGAGCTTGTTTTTTTTTTTTTTTTTTTTTTGGGTCTCGCTTACCAACACTTGTTGTTAGCCGTACTACTCACCTTATTTGTTTTAGTGTTTTGGCTCTGCATTTCTGCCGACCACTCCTTAATACCATTTTTTTTAATAGATTTTTTCAAAATATATATATATATATATATATATATATATATATATATATATATATATATATATATATATATGTAAGTGTATTAACTTATCAAAGCATATTATGGCTATCACTTTTGTAGTAATTGGATTTGCTCAAAAAATTATCTAAGTAAGAAACTTGCTTGACACGCATGTATTCCTTTAAGTGACATGTTAGGCATCCTATCACCTACTAGTCCGTATTTAAAAAATTGGCCCATTATATTGATCTTTATCTCTCTCTTTTTTTTTAGATTGATCAAAATTTGATAGAAAGATAGTCTTCGAACAAGGACACATATCAATATCAATAGAGAATTAATACTTGGCACTAGTAATAATTTTTTCAAATATGATTCTCAAGAACAACGCATATGTAAATTAATCTCAAAGTTACTAATGTCTTAAATGTTATTTTATGATCATTCTTTTTTGTGAGCAAATACTTAGATGCCTATTTTGATATAAACAAAATAATATGGAGAGACAATAGTTTCAAAGTGCTCCTTGACTCCTATCTAATTTTTTTATTCTTCAATTGCTGAAGAGGCATAAACTTTTCTTGAGTACCTAGTTGGCAATGAGGAGATTGAATTTTTTGTTCTTGTAATAAGAACCACGACCAACATGTAACTTGACCAAATAAACATGATGTTGTCATCGGAAAGACAAATTAAGCATGAAAAGCTCACGACCTAGTTAGCATGCGGCTTGGCCAGGTGGACATATGTTAGCATCAAAAAGAAAAAATTCGCATGAAGCTAGAATGTAGATTGGCTAGATGGACATGATATTACCATCAAAAAGAAAAAATGAGCATGAAGATCTCACGATCTAGCCGACATGCAATTTGACTAGATGGATGTGGTATTGACATCATTAGAAAAAACTAAGCATGAAAGCTCACAACCCGACCAATGCACTTCTTGGCCGGATAGACATGACATTGCCATAAAAAAAAAAAAAAGAATAACTAAGCATAAAAAGCCAATGGCTTCATCAGTATACTTGACCGGATGAAGATAGCGCGGCATAAGAAAAAAAAAACTAAGCATAAAAGCTCACTGCTTGGCTAGAAGGACATTATGTTGGCATCAAAAAGAAAAATATGAAAAGCTCATAGCATATCTATAGCGCAGACTTGGTCGGATAGACATGGAGTTACCAAAGAAAAAAAAACTAAGCATGAAAAGTTTATGACTCGGCTAGCACATAGTTTTGATGAAGCTTTAGATAATATCTTGTACGTGAATGAGAGAACGAGAGAGAGAGAGAGAGAGAGAGAGAGAGAGAGAGAGAGAGAGAGAGAGTTTAATCTTTCTTACTAAAGATTAGAAAAGTATAATTCTCTCGAAATTATGTGAGGTTGGTTTTTCTAGTGAATTAAAGATTTTTTTTATCGCTAGAATTATGATACGTCATTCATGTTTAGACGATCAAATTTGAATCAAAGAAAGCTATGTTATTTTGGGTTAAACTACTTTAACTTGTTATAAATGGTTAAGAAAAAGTAAGAATTAAGCCTTTTTTTAGTGAATCCTACTCCGAGTGCATCAAGTCAATCTCTCGAATGTATCCTAATGTCAAGACATGT